ATCCAATCAATGTTGCCACATCCTTTCCTACTTCGCTTCCTGCCATCAGGGACGTGATGTGAAACCCAGTGTGTTGTTTTCTTCTGATGAAAATGGTCTCCTTTAGAACTGGAGGGCAGGAGTGGGCAGAGAGGAATGGCTGTCCTGATTCCAGCTCTGATGCACAGCAGCTGTGCTGTGAGGCCATGCTTCATCAACCTAACCCTTAAAGCCCAGAGTGGCAGGGATTGGACTCATGTGTCCAGCAACATGAGACTGGATTGCAATTAACTGTATCATAAGGAAATAAAGGAGTCTGGGTCTGGGGTGGGGGTGTGGGGAGAGCTCTGCGTTTGCCTGCATAGACTTGTGTGCTGCTTCTTTCTACTTTGTCAGGAAGAAATTCTGTCCCCAGCAAACCCTGCTGCTAACTAACTCTTTTCTGCCACAGCCCCGTTCTGCTGGAGCAGGGTTTGCAGAGCTCATCTGTTCTCAGAGGTCACCCCACTGGGCTTTCCTGCCCTTTTTCAGAGGCTCCAGACCTCCTGGTCCTACTGCCCGGCTGGGAGCAGCCAGGCAGTACCAGTGGTTCACAATCCCCACAGGGAAATCCCTGTGGGCTGGTGTTGCCAGGGTCTGGCTGGAGGCACCTTGTTCAATTGGAGCAGACCTGAAGGCTCATGGAAGCCAGGGCACCTCTCTACAGCTTTCCCTGCTTGCCTCCACCCAACGTACAACGTGAGGTTCGCATCCCGCTGCGCAGTGGCGATGGCCCCCCGGCCACGGTGCTGACCTGACTTCCATTTTTGTGGTCCCCATTGTAGGGGGGTTGAAGTACCTGGGCAAATATCTTCTCCGGACCTTGGCTCTCTGCCTTTGAAACTGTTTTTGACACAGGTTCCATGGAGGCACTTTTTCTAGTATGTGTTGGGATTATTGGTAGCATAAAGTAAGGGGCTAGGCTGGAGGCCCCGATCCAGCTGGTGGGCTCCTGTACCCCCATGTGCATTCTCTTGCAGGGTCAGAGAGCAGCACCCACAGGACATGCTGTAATTTATTTTCTCCTTTCTTGACAATGTTTTCTGCCGTTACTTGAGCTCCATGTTGTTTAGTATTGAGAGGTGCCAAACTAGTTTTGAAATTCAGACCACGGTGCTTGACTTCACTGAGGCCATAAAAATCAATTCCTTAGCAGAACCTTCAACACATTACTGAGAGGTGCAGTAGTGCTGAGGGAATGCTCTGCCGCTCCAACGTTGTGCCACTGCAGGGAAGGTCAACTGCGTCCCGAGCTGCATCAGCAGAGGAATGGCCAACAGGTAGAAGGGGTGATGGAGTGCTGCATCCAGGGCTGGGGCTCCCAGCACAAGGAGGACGTGGACCTGTTGGAGGGTGTTCATAGGAGGGTGTTCATCACGGAGCTGATCAGAGCAGGGCTGGAGCACCTCTCCTGTGAAGACAGGCTCAGAGAGCTGGGATGTTCAGCCTGGAGAAGAGAAGGCTCCAGGGAGACCTTGGAGCAGCCTTCAAGTACCTAAAGGGGGCCTGTGGGAAAGATAGGGAGGGATTCTTCATCAGGAAGTGTAGTGATGGGAAAAGGGGTAATGGTTTTAAACTAAAAGAGGGGAGATTGAGATCAGATATTAGGAAGAAATTCCTCACTATGAGGGTGGTGAGGCAGTTTGCCCAGAGAAGCTGTGGATGCCACATCCCTGACAGTGTTCAAGGCCAGGTTGGATGGGACTTTGGGCAACCTGATCTAGCGGGTGGCATCCCTGCCCATGGCTGGGGCTTGGAACTGGATGGTCTTCCAGGTCTCTTCCAACACAAACCATTCTATGAATGCTGCTCATACAGAAAATCTAATATTGAGATGTGCTTCTCGTTTTTGCATTAAAAAAAAAAAATCACGTAAAATTAATTTGCTAGAACAAACCATCCCGGTGGTGCAAGGGGAGGGCAATCAGCATGAGGCAAAGATGCAGGCTGCAGCCACGCTGACCAAGATGCATGGTCTTGCAGTTGTGTGAATTTAGATCAAGATTTGACTCCAGTTTATAAGGGCTGGATGTTCAGCTGCTGGTAACTGTCACAGCCTTCGTTAATGGAGTTGAAAATGGTTTTGGCTTGATTCTTCAGATGCATGGCCCAGAGAGCCGGCGATGCGTGGTGCACCTGTACAGAGGAAGGCGGAGTGGGGCCACAGGCTGCGTTTCGGTTCAGAAGCTGTGTTAGAACAGTTCTGTGCACGGCATTGTGGAAATATGAGCGGCATGATGCTTCCCAGCAGTGTGCACGGGTCTGGTGCTGAAGAGGAGAGGCATCCAGCAGCTCTGCCCATACGTCACAGTCATATTGCATGGGCACTGTCTCCAGTGTCACCTGGGACAGGCTTCGTGCCTCCCCGTGAAAAGCCCTGCTCTCTAAATGCAGAGGCAGGGATTTTGCTGACGTGTGCCCCAGGTTTGACAGCACTTGTGCTATCTGAAATGACAGCTGGCAAGCTGACCTGGCAGTCAGGTTTTTGCTCCGTGGAGTCACAGACAAGTAAGTGATGTTTCATGCCTGTCTGGTCCCATCTCCTTGATGTTGTTCAGGAGAGGAGGTGGTGCAGAGGCTGATGCTGGGTCATGGTGAGACTCCTGCTTCTGAAGCTGACTTGAATTGGCGGAGCCAATGCCCAGTCCTCGGGGTGTTTGCTCTAGCAGAACTACTGTACCTCCTCGTGTCCCCTGTTTTCACAGCCTCTCTCCTTCCTGGGATGGGGAGTGGGGGACATAAACCTTGGCTTGTTCTTCATTTCCAGAAGACCATCCCTGCCCGCTTCTTGTAGTGCAGGCAGTGGGGGGAGGCGTTGTGGCAGGGCTCTGTAATGAGCTTCGGGATACAGGTAAGGGCACAGGTTGGTCCCTAGGGACTTCCATTGCTGGGCTGCTGGTTGTGAAAGCTGGGATGGGGTAGTGGCAGTAGAGGAGAGGGATAAATTTGCCCACACGGCTGGCTAGAGGACAGAGTGGATTACAGACAGATAGAAAGTTAGTTGTGGAGGTTGAAAGCTTAAATGGGCAAGAGACAAAAGAATGCATTTATTTGCTGACGGGCTAGGTAGGTACAAACAGACATGAGCAAGAACTTGGTTAAGCAGTTGGTGAAAATGGAGGTGTTATGTCTCACATACCCCTGGGAGCAAAAATGACTTGTGGTCCAAGAGGAAGCGGACTCCAACATGCTGGAGCCAGCATAGGAGATGCTTGGCACTTCAGCTCCGAAATCACTCAGTGTCTTGCTGAATCCCCTCATCCTGCTTGTTCTGCTCTCTCCTTGCCTTCCTGCTGCTGATTCAACTTTTCTCACTGCCCCAGACCTTCCCTCTTCCCCCTAACATGTTGGGATTGGGACTCCCTCTTGCTGGGCATCCCCAGGAGAGTATGGAGTGCTTTCAGCAGCTGTGATTGTCAAGTGTTAGGAGGTGCAAGAGAGGTGTGAGAGCAATTTATACTTTTTTTAAAAATTAGATCCCTGGGTTCTGTATACTTAATAGTGGTATCGGCAATGTTGCTCAGGTTATCAGTGTGGTCAGCCCACAACAGTGACAGAGATTTGGGAGTCAAATCCTGCATAGGGAGTCAGGCCATGTGTAAAGCAGAGGGGGAGGCAATGCAAACACTGCTACCAGTACATGAAGGGGGCCAAGGAGCTACTCAGTGACTTTCTACTCAGGTTAGCTACCCACCAGGTGGTATTTCTAGACCTCATCTCACTCCAGAGAACCTGTGCACTCAGACAGTGGGCCCTGCTCCCCTGCAGACCTAGGATTACCCAAGCTTCTGCAGGCTCCCATCTCTGGGGCTGTCCTTTAATTTGTTTTAATTTGAGACAGCCTTTGATGTGAGCCGCTTCCATTGGCAGGGTGGAGGTCTTGCTGCCAATCCTTAATGACTGTCACCTTGCCTGGTAAAAGAACCACACAACCATTCTGAGCATGTACAAGTCCTGTTCCCAGCCAGGTCTGAGATCCCAGCCTGCAAATTGGGCTTCTAATTTTTCCCTGGCACAAGCAGGCAGCATCCAGCCGGACTGAAATGCCAAACTCCTCCCTTCTCCCTTCATCACTGCCAAGTGATGGCTGTGATGAAGGATCCCACGTCACTAGCAGTACTCACTCAGCACTGATTCTCCCTTTCTAGCAGTGAACTGTGGCACAGTCATCCTAATGGGGTTTTAACCCACTTAGTGTGCATTATTCTGGTTCTGTATTGTTCTCATATGCTAATTGAGCATTCAGGGATGATCTGGTAGACAGTGCCAATCAAAGTGGGTTATAGAAAATAGTTCTCATCAAAGTCACTTGATTTTTTTCAATAGAACTGGATATTTTACGGGAGAAGAGAGACATCTGTAAAACCTCTGTTCTACCATAGTGTGACATGGTAATTAATGAATCTTATTTCCATTTTTCCATCATTTTCCTGATGCCTGTAGAAAATAGGCTGGCCAGACCCTGTGCTACCCAGAGAGAGTTCGACACACCTGAGCTGGGTGTCCTTCCATGTCCTTGTTCCTGGGGCCTGGAGGGGGCTCTCAGGACCACAAGCAGGGTGCTAGGTGTGAGCAGGCTGTGGCCATCCTGGGCAATTCCATCTGAGGCCTCTCCCCACCTCTGCCTCATGCCAGGGGCTGTATTTATCTGGGCAGTCAGACCTGGGCTGAGCAGTGCTGTGCTTGTGCTCGTGTCTGGCCCAGTCCCTCCAACTGCTCTTCCTGAGCACACTGTGTGCCTGTGTTGTAGGTAGCTTGTCTCTGGGGGGCTGGAGCACCTCTCCTATGGAGATAGGCTGAGAGAGCTGGGGCTGTTCCGCATGGAGAAGAGAAAGGTCCGGGGAGACCCCATTGCAACTTTTCAACACTTAAAGGGAGCTTATTAAAAAGATGGAGAGCAACTTCTTGCTCAGGCAGATTATGACAGGACAAGGGGAGATAGTTTTAAACTGAAAGAGGGGAGATTGAGATCAGATATTAGGAAGAAATTCCTCACTATGAGAGTGGTGAGGCACTGGCACAGGCTGCCCAGAGAAGTTGTGGATGCCCCATCAGTGGAAGAGTTCAAAACGAGGTTGGAAGTGGCCCTGGGCAACCTGATTTAGTGGGTGGCATCCCTGCCCACGGCAGGGGGGTTGGAACTGGATTGTCTTTAAGGTCCCTTCCAACCCAAGCTGGTCTATGAATCTATGCCAGGTAGGGTTTGGGGTGCAGACATCACTCAGTGATGATGTTTGCGGTACACTGATTTACACCAGTTAGGAGAAAGGCCCCACTGAGGTATGGGTAGCCCATCCCCACCCCAGATGACTACCACAGCTCCTGCTATTGCCTGGATTAAGGAAGTGCATTTATTTGCTTTGGGTTAGAAAGATGTCTCCCTAATATGTACAGCAGCAACATCCCCCACACAGAGAGCCTGTGGTCCACCCCGTGCCCCAGGGAAGGACCTGGTCACTGGGAGAGCAGAACATCCAGTGCAAAAGCCATCATTGCAACCATCCACGGGCTGTGGCAGTTGCTTTCCCTACTACCTTTGCTCACCTGGCCCTGCTCACACTGCCTGCCTCCCCTGACACTCCATGGGGACCACTGGCCAGATGGGACAGTGGGAGGCAGAAGAGACTGTGACAACAAGCCGATGTGTCCAGAGTAGTGGCAGCACTGAGTAGACAACTTGGAAGGATGAGAGCCAACAGAGGAGCTGGAGATTTAGTCCTTGAACTTCAGGTGGGCTGAGGATCTGGTGCAAATCTGGGTCCATTGCTTGTAGTACGTTGCTTAGGAGAACAGTTGACACACAGAAAGAAAAGGAATGGCAAAGCCAGAAGCAGGAGACATCAGGGTTTCTGTCTTGCCTTTCCCAGCATCCTCATTCATCGGGTGGGAGAGGGTGGCCTGAGGCTGGCAACACGGCTGGGGGGCAGGTGGTGCAGAGCTTGGCCACTAACAAACTTGAAGGTGCTTGGAGGGACGGGAGGGGGCTGCTGAGGAGTCTGGGTTCAGCTCACACCGGTTATTGTCGCCGTGCATCTGGGACACTTCCGTCGATGCTGCCTCGAAGCGCGGCACAGCATGAGCAGCGTGCAGCACATGCACTTTGTTGCGGTGCTTCTTCCTCAGCAGGCAGCTGAAGACTTTTTTGAAGCCCTTACGGAAGTGCTTGGAGACCAGGGCGTAGACGATGGGGTTGAGGCAGGAGTTGGCATAGGCCATGCAGTGGGAAAGCAGGCGGAAGGCATAGGTGGCCTGGTTGAAGGGGAAGTCTCCATAGAGGTATCGGAGGATGACTACGTGGTAGGGCAGCCAGCACAGGCAGAAAAGGATGGTTACAATGATGATCATCTTGGTGACTTTCCGTTTAGCCTTCTTGGACTCTGACACGTCCTCCAGGGGTTCCACTGCTGTCCACAGGTACTTGATGGTCCTGGTGTAGGAGAGGCTGATGACGAGGACTGGGATGACATAGCCAAAGGCAAACGTGCTGGTGTCCATGACCTTGCGTCTCCACTCCTCCCAGTCAGGCATGCAGATGTAGCTGGCCTCCCACTCGATCAGGTTGTAGTAGCTTAGGTAGGGGCCTGCAAAGACCACGGAGAGGCCCCAGATCACAGCCATAGCAGCCATGGCATTGCAGGGGGTCCGCAGCTCCCGGGAGCGCAGCGGGTAGCAAATGGCCAGGTACCTGGGGGGAGAGCAAAGCAACCGCAGCTGAGGGTTCAGCCGAGCTGTAGCTGGCCACATAAAGGGAACAAGAAGGTTTCCTTTGTTCTCCTGAAGATCCCTGAGTAGGGGCCCTATGTACTATCTCATGCCCCATCTGAGATACAGTCCTGGGTGAAACAGCTTTTCTCTTTACAGCAGGGATGCCTGGGCTGGCTGACACCTCTGTGCAGGGAGGGTAGTCACGTCCCTGCGCTAGGATCAGAAACGGGGCTGTCACGACCATGCAGATATTTGCTGCTTGGCAGAAACTACGCAGCAGGAGAAAGGTCTGAGCTGAGGTTATGGGACCTGGGCAAGCTTCACTGGATGGTGGATGCAGTGCAGGCTTCTGCCCACTCAGGGCCTATTTTCAGCCTGCTCCAGTTTTCACATCAGGCTGGCAGGGAAAAGGTTTGCTCACTGTAACCAGGTCTGTGTGTGCCTCAGTCTGGCTACTGGGGGGGGGGCAGGTGGGCCCTTGCCTTTGGGTGCTTGTCCCTCTTCCAGCACATGGTGTCCAGAGGCAGCGTGACGGCCAGCTCTGCTTCCCCAGCCCCAGACAACACTAAAGAGCAAAGCTGGCAGAACTCTGCTGCATGCTCAGGCAGGAGGGGGAACAAGCAGCAAAGGGGAATCCCTTTTCCCACGTTTGTCTTGGCAGTCCAGCAGGAGCTGCAAGATGTCAGAAAGGAGAGAAAATGGCTTGGTGCTCGTGCGTAAGGGATGGAGAAAAGTTGTGAGCACAGACAACTTGTTTTATTACCCTTAGGGACAAGGACAATGAGTGAGATAGACCAGGACGTGTTTTCTCTATGGCAGGCAAGGCTGGGAGCTTACCCTGCTGGTAAGCTCCATCCCACCATCAGGGTGGGAGCTCCCACCATCAGGCTTCCTCCTCCTGCACCATCAGTGTAGGCTCAGCCAAAAGTGGAGCTCAGCACAGCAATCCTACACTGAGGGGAAACAAGGCAGAGCCCTTAGGAACAATTCAGATGGATGGAGCAGGGCCTGGGTGATCTCCCAAGAAGAAACTTGGCTCACAGTGTGGGTGCCTTTCTGTACAGGCTGCTGTGGGGCCCAGGAGGGCTCAGGAGAGGTGAGGGAGCAGAGTTGTTAGATAACAGCTTCTGTGCTGGGCCGGCAGCTCTAGGGGAATGAGAGATTTGTTACAGGACTGGGATCTCTCCTGTATATTTATATGGCTTCTCCTTTAGTGCTCTTTGGTTACCTTGCTGCCCTCATGTGATGCTTTGATGCTTTCCTGCAGTGGTGGCTTAGGGATAGCCACTGCCCCTGGCATGCCATCTGTAACGTGGAGCTGGGTGAGGGGGAGTCCCTGGCACACTGTGGAGCTCAGCCTGGGTCTCAGGTGTCCTACCTACAAGGCAGGTCTTCCCTATAGAAAATGCAGGCAGGAGCAGCACCAGCTTTGCACGGAGGAGAGCTGGAAGTGCTGCTTGGGGGTTGGTAGGGAAAGGGAGCTAGAAGTGGTCCCCAAACTGCCTTTGGCATGGACCAGCACCACTGGGGGTTGAATGATTTGCCTGTTGGCGATGGGCCATGGCCTTCCCATGCCCTCACTCCACCCAGCTTCTCAAACTGCCCTCCTTCCCCAGCCTGAGGGCGTCGCCAGACCATTACCTGTCCACAGAGACGGCAGCCAGTGTGAAGCTGCTGGCATACATGGTGAGGTAGATGAAAAAGTGGACAGCCTTGCAGATGAAGGAGCCAAAGACCCAGCCTTCAAGGCAGTAGATGGTGGCCTGGAAGGGCACGCAGAAGACAATGAAGAAGAAGTCAGCCAGGCTGAGGTTGAGGATGAAGAGGTTGGTGGTATTGTGGCCCATTTGTCTATTGCGCAGCAGCACTGCCAGCACCAGGCTATTGCCCACTGTGCCCAGGAGGAAGATGAGGGAGAAAACCACAGGGACAATGACACTAGCAGGACTGAACTGGTAACTGTCAGAGGGGTTCCAGTACCCAGCCAAGCTGGTGAAGTCCTCGTACTCCATCATTCTGTGCCGTGGTGAGGTGCTGAAGCCTGTGGCGACACAGGGAAAGGTGTGAGAGACTGCAGAAACACTGCAATTAAACACTTAGATTGTCTGATCGGCCTGCTGGCTGGCTGGAGACAGACAGAGCCTTGTTCTCAGTTCTGCCGCCCACATGCTTTTCAGCAGGCTCCCCTGGACACAGCCGGCATGCAGGACAGGTAGGGTTAGGCTGGCAGTAAGGAGGACCCGGCTCCCCCCTTCTGACGCTGGAGTGAACCCATACCCCAGATTTAGATGCCACCTTGGGCTGATGATGCTGAAGGTGAGGTTTGGGAGGGAGGAGAGAATATCATCTCCATGGGTGGAACAGCCTCCTCCTCTCTGGGAGAATGGAGCCAGGATTTTCCCTTCCCAGCTGATGGCAGGCAGAGGTGTGATGGCAACAGGGCTTCAGCCCTGAACCCACAAGTTGGGTGAGCTAAGGTGGTTGCTCCTGCTGTACTGATGTGCGGTTTGATAGTACCCCCAGCCCCAGCCCTTTTGGTTTGGTTCTACAATAAACATCGCACGCTAGACACAGGCTGGAAATGCCTTTGCCAGTGACAGCTACTACACAGTTCTGTGTTGTGCTCAAGTGAGGACTTTCTGGGGAGGACAGCTGATGGGACCGCCTGTGCTTTGGACTCAGTGACCCAGATATATGCTCTCTGTTTCATAGAGCAGCTCTCCTCAGGACTTGGGCTTCCTCTATCATTCTCTTGCCCCAAAAATAAGCATTTGTATTGAAAGCAGGTGAGTTTGTGTGGGGAAACATGAATTTCTCTGTCACACACACAGAAATCTGCCTCTAAGTATTTAACTTCTGGAGCTGGTGGAATATCAGATGTACACATAGGCACAGATCCCCTTGGGGAAAACAAAACAAAACAAAAACACATAAATTGGGTTCCTTCTCCTCTTCAGTGTTTGTATGGATGTGCTGTGGTTATTAGAGCATGGCCCAACAGTGGCTCACTGTGACTATGGAGACTGCAGCAGCTCTGCAAGAAATGGAGCTCTAGCTGGTGCCTTTGCCTTCAGGTAGGGGATGGGGCAAGGGCTCCCTGTGAGCACTGACAGGGTGAGCACCTGAAGCAGAAGCACTGCAAGGGGCATGTGAGCATGGGTCCCCTGCTGCAGGTGTTCCTGGAATCAGTCAGTGCCTGACTATGTAGCCTTGCCACAGCTTTGAGGTTCTGCTTGGTTGCTGATGGCTCATGGCCTGTCTACAATTGAAGCCAGTGCTTCAATTTCCCTTTACAGATGGGAATTGAGACATGGTGAGTGTAAAGAGGTGGCTGGTCTGATCAGGGCTGTCACTAATGTAGCAGACAAATGAATATTCCTCTCTATTTCTGATTCCCACCTCTGTGTACAGTCCTTCCTGCAGACAGGAGAGCGACAGGAACAGGCACAGAGTAAAAGCACTGCTACCCTTTCTGATCTCAAAAGTGATATATACCACCTGTCATATTGCCATGGCTCTGAGATTGTGAGTGACTCTCAAGGAGTCATCTCTCACAGAGTGGGACCTGGATGCAGTCCCAGTTCAGCATCTGCTCATGAGATGGCCAGTACCTCCCACTGCTCTGTTGTCCCTTGGAAGCATTTTGCAAACATTTCACTCCCTACACTTTTGTGAATGGGTTTAGGGCAATGGTCCTGAGTCTCAGTTGGTTCTGAACAGCCTTGACTAGCAGTGACTGAGAGAGGGACAAGTGCTGAACAAGGAGAAAAAAGGAGACCATGGGCAATGAATTTCCTCTTCCACATATGCTATTCAGGGTTAGGAGGGGCAAAGGTGATGCATTAGGGGAGGTAAAATTGTGAGGCATGAGAACTGAATCAATGGCAAAGTTGGGAATGGAACCCAAGAGACCTGGCTTCTCCAAGAAGGGTTCAGTAACGGATCTGTAGGGAGAATGGTTCTCAGTGCCTGACTGTTGGGGGTAGCAAAACACAGACAAAAAACACCAACAGAGGTGGGGGCAGGCAGCAGGTCAATCCAGAGCTGCCTGGGAACCAGCACAGGCAGCTCTTACATCCAGGGAAGACCAAGAAGGGCAGGGGGAGGAAGGGCAAGGGCACAGATACAGGAGCGATGGGAAGAGGGAGGTACAGGCTGGATGGTCTGGACAGAGAGCAGCACAGGGAGGAGAGGAGGAGCAGGCAGTTAGAGCTTCCTCTCCCAGTGGGCTCAGGAGCCAGCGTTTCTGGGCTCGTTCTGCTGTTGGCACTGCCAACCCCAGCAGCGTGCCTCTATTTCCCCATTTGTGCAGCAGCTCCACAAAAAGCTGCCTCATCTGCTCTGCTGGGGGACAAGGCAGAGCCCATTTGCTCGGCAACCTCAGGGGCTCAGCCCGGGAGCGCAGCAGCCCCCCAGCACCCCGGCACCCTTCCTGTGCCCAGCCCGGGTCGGGCAGCCTCGGTGCTCCCCGCCTCCTACGGCAGGCACGGCCACGGCTGGGGCTGTCTGGCCCCGGGAGCCTCTCCTTTCGCTGCCCTGCCCGCAGAAGGCAGCGGTCAGGTTCCCGCACCGCCCGCCCCTGTGCCCTGCCCCGCTCCCGGTGGCACATGCGGTACCGGGGGCCCCTACCTGCTCCGCTCCGCTCCGCTCCGCCGCCCGGTGCGGCTGCTGCCGGTGCTGCTGGGGCACAGCTCGCTCCGCCCCTGCTCCAGCACCCCCGGGCACGAGTGCCCCCGCTCCCGCATGCACGCACACCTACAAACGCATCCTGGCAGCCACGCACGCCCCAGGCACTCGTGTGTCCCGCGGGAAAAGAACACGGAGCGTTTGCTCCTCCCTTGTGCACAGCCCACAGCACGCTACGAAACCCGGCAGCAAGCACAAGCCCCTCTGCGGGCACTGAGCGTAACCTGAGCACGCACAGCCCTTACACACCTGTGCACGTGCTTACATCCATGCACCCATCCATAGCCACCTCCCTGGCGCTCTTCTCCTGTGTGAGTCCATGCTTTGTGCACACACGGTGAAACCCCCGTGCATCAGTCCTGCTGTGCCCTGCAGCCAGGGCACACTGGCAGGATCTCTGAAGATGGGTATGGGGTAGTTATGAGGATTCGGGGGAATCTGGGATCTCTCAATCCTTGTCTCTTTGCTTTGCTCAAACCCCAACATTTCATTGGGTTAGAAACTGGCTGGGTAGCCAGGTCCAAAGAGTCATGGTGAATGCAGTCAAATCCAGTTGGAGGCTGGTCACTAGTGGCGTTCCCCAGGGCTTGATAATGGGGCCAGTCCTCTTTAATATCTTTATAGATGATCTGGATGAGGGCATTGAGTGCACCCTCAGTAAGTTTGCAGATGACACCAAGCTAGGTGCGTGTGTCGATCTGCTCGAGGGTAGGAAGGCTCTGCAGGAGGATCTGGATAGGCTGCACCGATGGGCTGAGGTCAACTGCATGAAGTTCAACAAGGCCAAGTGCCGGGTCCTGCACCTGGGGCGCAATAACCCCAAGCAGAGCTACAGGCTGGGAGATGAGTGTATGGAGAGCTGCCAGGCAGAGAAGGACCTGGGAGTGATGGTGGACAGTCGGCTGAATATGAGCCAGCAGTGTGCTCAGGTGGCCAAGAAGGCCAACAGCATCCTGGCTTGTATAAGAAGCAGTGTGACCAACAGGGCTAGGGAGGTGATCGTCCCCCTGTACTTGGCTCTGGTGAGGCCGCACCTCGAGTACTGTGTTCAGTTTTGGGCCCCTCGCTACAAGAAGGACATCGAGGTGCTTGAGCGAGTCCAGAGAAGGGCGACCAAGCTGGTGAGGGGTCTGGAGAACGAGTCCTACGAGGAGCGGCTGAGGGAGCTGGGATTGTTCAGCCTGGAGAAAAGGAGGCTCAGGGGTGACCTTATTGCTCTCTACAGGTACCTTAAAGGAGGCAGTAGAGAGGTGGGGGTTGGTCTGTTCTCCCACATGCCTGGCAACAGGACAAGGGCGAATGGGCTAAAGTTGCACCAGGGGAGGCCTAGGTTGTATATTAGAAAGAACTTCTTTACTGAAAGGGTTGTGAGGCATTGGAATGGGCTGCCCAGGGAGGTGGTGGAGTCACCATCCCTGGAAGTCTTTAAAAGACGTTTAGATGTAGAGCTTAGGGATATGGTTTAGTGGAGGACTGGTTAGTGTTAGGTCAGAGGTTGGACTCAGTGATCTTGGAGGTCTCTTCCAACCTAGATGATTCTGTGATTCTACTCTGTATCATGGGCTTCCTCTCCTTTTTCTGCTTCTCTGCTCTGCTTCTTCTATTTTCTTAAATTTGCATTGTCCCTCTGTCCCTAACAATATCTCTTCATCTCCGTGCTGCTCCCTGTCCCTGCTGTTCTCTGACAATCCTGGTGTTCTGCTCCCTGTTCTTCTTTTCCTCTCTCTGTCCCTCTCACACTTCTTTGTGTATTTCTTTCTTTTCCCCTCTGCCCCTGATGCTTCTTTCTCTCTCTCTGCTCTCTACAGCGTCCTTCTCTGCCTGTTCCTATGTCATGCTTCTGGTCTCTAATTTTTCTGTCTTTCTCTCTGTTCCATTGCCCTTTCCTTCATTTCTCACTATATCTCCTCATCCAGCTGTTTTTTTTTTTTTTTTTTCCGTCTCTGTGCCTCTATCCTGACACCTGTTCCTTTTTGTTCTTCCTCTGTCTCCAACCTGCAACTCATCAGTTTTATCCTTTTCCTTCCCTTTTTTTCCTGATCTGCAGCCCTTCCTTGCACCTTGCCCCTACACAATGCCTGTGTCCTCCTCCCTGTCTTCCCCTAAGTATGTTCTTCTCTCCCACCCTTCTTCATCTATTCTTCCTCCCTCTCCTTCTGTTTTGTTCTCTATCCCTCTGCTCTTCCCCCATTCCCTTTTCACTCTGCCTCTCTGTCTGTTCTTTCTCTGCCTTTATTCTTAGCCAGTCTGTCCTGCTCCTTTGTTCCTGGCTTCCCGTGTAAAAAGAAAGAATCTTCCTATACTTCTGATTTCTGTCAAGTCATCTATCCTGCTCATTGTCACTTTTTTTCCTTCTTTTTATTTTTCTTTCTGCATCCCACTGCC